TCCTCCTCCTCCTCCTCCTGCTCCTCCTCCTCGTCCACGAGCGCAGCAACACGCACCACGACCACGACGACAAAGCCGCCGCCGACGGGGGCGCAGACAAGGCGCTGTCACGATCCATACCGAAGCACGGATCCGGGAAAGAGCCCATCCAGCGAAAGTTGATTCGCCGCACATCGCTGAATGTATCGGTGAACGATGCCCCATGCTATGACTATCAGGCCCAAGTGAGGATTCTCCAAAGAAATGATGGCAGTGTTTGATGGGGTCCAGGCCAGACCTTAGGAGCACGGAGACGCTTCCCCAGCTTACTTATGAGGCCAAGGTCCAAAGGGAAGCAGGTCCTGGAAACCAGAGCTTCCTCTGGGACTGGCTCTTCAGATGGGGGGGCCACGATGCGCGGCCACCATGGGGGGGCCTCGGGGTTCACGATGGGCCACCGAGTTCAGGGGGCCGGATTCTCTCACCGGCCGTGGAAAAAAAACAACATGCGAATACATACATCTATATATAAATATATATATATATATACATATATGTGCATACAAACATACATACATGCATACATGCATACATACATACACATACATATACAATCATACAGAAATACAAAATATGCATAGATATATATGTATATAATTATGCAGGTGTAACTACCTACATAATTAGCTGTATATGCATATCTATATGTATACATGCAATGTAAGACGGCCCTAGAAAGCCCCAAGACACCACAAGAGGCTGTTCAGAGAGCCCCGAAGGAGCAAACATCGTCCCATTCCCTCGGGAAAATATATAAGCTGAACATATCCGCTGTTTGGCTTCGCAGAATCCAAGACGGCCCGATGGGTCCCCGATATCGCCCCAAGACGGCCCAAGAGGCCCCCCAGAGGGTTTGTTGAAGACGGCCCAACAGGGCCACAAGACTGCCCCAGAGAGCCCCGAGACTGTCCGCAAGAAGCCCAAAATGCCCCCAGAAGACCCCCAAGAGAAACCAACGGAAGGCATGGGAGACCCCCGAGAAGGCAACTGGAGGCCCCCAGGGGGCCCTAGATAGCTTCAAAAAACCTCGGGAGGACCCAAGCTCCCCAAGACGGCCCAGGAAGGCCCCGGGACGGCCCAAGAGGGCCCCAGGAGGGCCCAAAAGAACCCCAAAAACGCCCAGACGGAGTTTCCCTACGAAGTAAATCGAGCTGACCCGACGATCTTGGTTCCACGCTTGAGGCTCGAGGCTAAAGTTCCTCGATCGGGGGAGACGGGCAATGGATCTAGATTCGAAGTTCGACGATCGAAGATTTCCTGAGTGCCTGGAGCCCTCCAGGCATTCAGGAAGCTACCAAAAATCGATATGTTCGGAACTACTGCGACTTCTTCGGCGTGTCATGGGAACGCCCTGTACTTCCTCAAAGGACCTTCGCGCATGAAAAAAAAAAACAAAAAAAAAACAACAACAAAAAAACAACTTCCTAAGCGTGCAAGCGCATCGGGCGAACGCGGTGTCAGCAGGCAGGCACCAGGGATATGAGAAAAATGAGCCAGTCGCCCGTCCAGGCTTCGAGGTCCCCTCCGCTGAAGGAAGCGATGTGTTACTGCTTTGCGTCCGGAACAAAGCACATGGCGCGAAGCGCCAATGCAGTCTTGTGTAAATACATATATATATATATATATATGCGTAGATGTCTGTATGTATGCATATGTGTATGCATAGATGTATGTATGTATGTATGTATGTATGTATGTATGTCTGTCTGTCTGTCTGTCTGTCTGTCTGTCTGTCTGTCTGTCTGTCTGTCTGTCTGCCTGTCTGTCTGTCTGTCTGTCTATCCACCTGCCTGCCTGCCTGCCTGCTTGCCCGCTTGCATGCATATCGGAATGTATGTAAGCAGGTACGTAGGTAGGTAGGTAGGTAGGTAGGCAGGCAGGCAGGTAGGTAGGTAGGTATATGTGTGTATGTATGTATGTGTGTATGCATGCATGCATGCATGCATGTATGGATGAATGCGTGTATGTGTGTAAAAAGTACATATGGATGCATGTATGTGTGCACGAGAGTATGCATGCATGCAAGCATGCACATATGTATGGATGCGTGTATGTATGTGTATGTGTATGTGTTCATGTATATGTGCATGTAGATACGCACGTATGAATGTACGTACGTACGTGCATGCATATTTATGTACGTATGTATGTATGCATGTCTGTGTGTACGTATATCTACTTGCATGTATGCTTGTATGTTTTTTATGTTCCCGAACAGAGCTTGCCTCTGTAGGGTCCTAGCGGATTCATATGGTTAGGTGAACTTTGCCGCCGATTTCCGCGGCCCGCCCAGGTGCTTGGGTGCCCGGGTGCCCAGGTGCCCAGGTGCCCGGGTGCCCTGGTGCCAAAGTGCCCGGGTGCCCGGGTGCCCGGGTGCCTTCTGGCCCTATAGCCCTATAGCCCTGAGGCCCTATAGCCCTGTAGCCATATAGCCCTATAGCCCTATAGCCCAATAGCCTTATAGCCCTATCGCCCTATCGCCCTATCGCCCCATAGCTCTATAACCCTATAGCCCTATAGCCCCATAGCCTTATAGCCCTATGGTCCTATAACCCTATACTTCTAAACTTCTAATCCCATAGTTATTAGACCCTAAATAACCTAAAAGCGGTCACCATGCAACCCCGCTCCATCTACTGCAAAAAAAAAACATGTCCTGCGCATGCGTGCAGAATCTCCTATTTTTTACAGCACAAAGTGCCCAGTCCCCGTCGCAACCCCGCTCCATCCACTGCAAAAAATAGCATTTCCTGCGCATGCGTGCAGAATCTCCTATTTTTTACAGCACAAAGTGCCCAGTCCCCGTCGCGACCTGGGTCCATCTACTGCACAAAATGAATTTCCTGCGCATGCGTGCAGAATCTCATATTTTTACAACACAAAGTGCGCCCCTCTTATGTAAACCGGCTCCATCTACTGCAAAAAATAGCATGCGCTGAGCATGCGTGCAGAATCTCCTGCATTTTACATTACAAAGTGCCCAGTCCCCGTTGCGACCCGATCCATCTATTCCACAACGTGGCATGTGCTGCGCATGCGTGCAGAATCTCTCCCGCCCGACCCGACTCTTCCCGCCCGTGAGAGCCCTCGCGTGCCAACTGGCTCGCACATCACTCGTCGCCGTCGCCGTCGTCGTCGTCGACGCTGTAGTCGATGTGGTTCTAACGAGGGGAGAGATGATCTTTATGGTGGGGTGGCTTGCGGGTGGGACTGACGGCCACCGCAGGTGGGTTCGCGGTCACGGTGTCCTCCTGGCCACGCCTAGTAGACTCTATAGCCCTATAGCGCTATAGCCCCGTAGCCCTATAGCCCCGTAGCCCTATAGCCCCGTAGCCCTATAGCCCTATAGCCCTTTTGTCCCAATAGCCATATAGCCCCGTAGCCCTATGCCCTATAGCCCGATAGCCCTATGGTCCCATAGCCCTATAGCCCCATAGCCCTATATACACATGACCCTACTGCCCTATAGTCCTGTAGCCCCATAGCACCAAAGCCACATAGCCCCATAGCCCTATAGCCCTATAGCTCTATAGCCCCATGGCCCTATAGCCCTACAGCCCTATAGCCCTATAGACCTGTAGCCCTATGGCCCTATAGCCCTATAGTTCCATAGCCCTATAGCCCCATAGCCCCATCGCCCTATAGCCCAATAGCCCCATAAAAAGACGTGTATCAGGCTGTTGCTCACCAGTATCATGTGCATGCTTGTATGTATGTGTGTATGTATGTGTACATGTATGTGTGTATGTATGTATGCATGTATGCATGGATGGATGCATGTACGTATGTGTATGCAGGGATGTGTGTATGTAAGTGTGTGTCTGCATGTATGTATTTATGGATGGATTGGTGGATGGATGGATGGATGGATGGATGGATGGGTGGATGGATGGATGGACGGATAGATATATATATATATATATATACATACGTGTATGTGTATATGTAAGTATACATGCCTGCATGTGTATGGTATGCATGTTTGATTATTTGTATGTATGTTTGGATGCATGTGTATGTATGTATATATGTGTGTATGTATGTGTGTGGATGTATGTATGAATGTGTACGTATGTGTGCACGCAGCGCATGTATGATGTATGATGTACATACGTACGTACGTATGTATGTATGTGTGTATGTGTGAATGCGTACCTTCGTACGTATATATGTATGTGCATATGTGTATATGCATGTATGTAATTATGTGTGTACGTATGTATGCATGTATGTATGTATGTATACATGCATGTGTGTATGTATGAATGTATGTATGTATGTATGTATGCATGTGGATGTATATGTACATGCATGTGTGTATGCACGTATGTATGTATGTATGTATGTATGTATGTGTATGTGTGTATGTAGGTATGTATGTGTGTATGTATGTGTGTATGTATGTGTGTTTGTATGTATGTATGTGTGTATGTATGTAGGTTTGTATGTATGTATGCTTGTATGTATGTGTGTACGTACGTGTGTGTACGTATGTATGTGTGTGCGTATGTATGTAGGTATGTGTATATATGTTTGTATGTATGAAAGTATGAATGCAAGTATGTGTGTATGCATGTATGTATGGATGTACGGATACTCATAGAATCGTGAGAGGGAGAGCAAACGAACGACAAACACAAAGAACGCGTGCAAGAAGACCCGTAAGAGGCCCCGTAAGAGACCCCGAAAGTAGCAAACAAAGCTTCCGTCGTGATTGTTCATGGCTTGAGGGGGTCTGCATCCCAGGCCTGCCCACAAACAGCCTCGCCCAGTCACTAGAGGAAGAAAAAACTGCATAAAACTTGTTGGGATCTGCGCTGGCGCGCGAAGCGCCTTCGAGTCGCCCTCCCCCGCCACCCGCTCCAGAGCCACACCCACCAGGGACTGCTCCCGCGCGGGCGCGAGCGTGGCCGCCAGGCCGCCTGCCCGCGGGCCACGCACCGCCCAAGCGCGCGCGCCCCTCAGAAGCCGTTGCGGCCCCACACCACCAGTGCGATGGACATGGTGACGGTCGAGCAGATGAACACCCAGATCAAGCCTGGGTTCTCCAGCACCTCGGGGCGGGGGGTGGAGAGGGGGGGGGGGGAGGAGGAGGAAGGAGGAGGAGGAGGAGGGGAGGAGGAGGAGGAGCAGGAGGAGGAGAGGAGGAGGAGGAGGAGGAGGAGGAGGAGGAGAAGGAGGAGGAGGAGGGAGGAGGACAAGCACTGGGGAGGCACCAGCGGCACAGCTCGCTTGCCAACGGGAGAGCAGAAGCCTGCAACTGCTTTAGTACAGCTGCACGCCCCCGGCTGTGGCTCCCCGGTGGAGCCCTAGCGCAGACTTCTGTTCCGATCCGACCCGATCGAGCAGCTGATCGGGAAACAAACAAGCGCATAAGCATAAACGTTCGAAGTTTCGCGCGGATTTCTCGGATCGGCACTGGACCTCCCTCCCTGGCGCGCGGAGTGCGCCAGGGTTGCGCCAGAGGCGCCGCCATGGGGGTTCCAGCACCGCTCCGAGAAATCCGCGCGGACCTCCGAAAAGAAGTTTGTGTTAATGCCATTGTTTGCTCCCCGGTTCACCAGCACGTCGGGTTCGGTGGCAACTCATGGGAGCCTCCAGTGCCATCTTGTTGGTTCTTGCGAGATCGACGCCAATCAATGCAAATCGACGCTAAATCGGCATGATCCCATCGATTAACCTAACATGGTCTTCAATGACTCTGTGTTTTCCTAAAAGGAAACTAATTACGGTCGGCGCGGGCTTTTTGACGGAGTCGGACCGAAAACACTAGGGGGGAAACAATTCCCCTCCCGCGGCGGCCACTGCCTGGGGTTCCTGAGGATTCCTGTGACTCCTGCGACTCCTAAGGATTCCCTTCGGATTCCCTGCGGGTGCCTAAGAGTTCACAGAAGGATTCGCAGGATTCCTCAGGATCGGAGTCCTAAGAATCCCTGGGAGTCCAATGAAGGATTCCCAAGAATTTCAAGGACTCACTGAGGATTCTTCTGGATACCTGGGGACCCCTGGGAATCCGAGAGATTCCGACTACTACTGTTGCACGTAATCTCAGAAATCTTCTGTCGTGCAGGGTAGCCCAGGAGGCATTATCCGATGGGAGGAATTATCACTCAACAATATCAAACACGGTAAACAATAGTGCGCAAATCATTCCACGCGCGGCAACCACAGAACAAGCTCACCACAACTATGGCGAGCTCTCAATGCGTAAGATTACCTGCGCGACTCCCATATGAAGACGACGATGACGATTACGACGACGACGACGGCGGCGGCGACAACGACGACGAGACAACCACGACGACGACGACGACGACGACGACGAGGACGACGACGACGACGACGACGTTGGCAAAGACGACGCGCCGACTCGATTGCAAACCTTGTACAAACAAGCTCAAAGTTCCTCTGTCGTGCAGGGTCGCGCAGGGAACATTATCTGATTGGAGGATAACCACCCAGCGATATCCAACACGGCGAACAATAGTGCGCAAATAAATCCACGCGAGGTCAGGTCAACACCGAACGAGCTCAACACAGCTACGGCAAGCTCTTACTGCACGGTCACTTGCGCGAACCCCTATGAAGACGGCGACGGCGACGATCGCGACGACGACAAGGGCGAGGAGACGAGGGCGATGACGATCACGACGACGACGACGACGACGACGACGACGACGACGACGATCACGACGATCGCGACGATCACGACGACGAGGGCGACAGGGGGAGGGCGAGGAGGGGAAGGACGAGGAGGGGGAGCACGAGGGGGAGAGCGAAGACAGAAGCACGAGGAGGAGGGCGAGGAGGGAGGGCGAGGAGGAGGGTGAGGAGGGGAAGGACGAGGAGGGGGAGGACGAGGGAGAGGGCGAGGACAGAAGCACGAGGAGGAGGGCGAGAAGGGAGGGCGAGGAGGGAGAGCGAGGAGGAGGGCGAGGAGGAGAAGGACGAGGAGGGGAAGGACGAGGAGGGGGAGGACGAGGGGAAGGGCGAGGAGGGAGAGCGACGAGGAGGGCGAGGAGGGGAGGGACGACTACTCCCAGCCGAGAGCTTAGGGGGCGCCCATCATGAAAGACCCCTTCGCGGCTACCCGAAGCCAATCGAGGTGAATGCACTCCAAAGACGGAACTGCGAGGATATATGCAAAGCTCCCACGGAAATGCTACAGAACTCGGAGGAGGGGGCAGGGCCATGTTCACCATGGGCCCCGATGCCCCGCCACGGACGTGACTCTGTGGCGGCAACGCCATGTACGCTATGAAAATATGACTTTCGCTTTGATCCCCTCTCGCTTGGGGGCCAGGGGTGGGAGGAGGAGGAGGAGGAGGAGGAGGAGGAGGCGGAGGAGGAGGAGGAGGAGGAGGGACTCAGGGCCCGGATTCTCCAGCACCCTCGGGGGGGGGGTCGGAGGCCGCACACCGGCACCGAGACCACGGGCGGCGCCATTCCCGGGGCCCCAGGGGCGTCGGTGCGCGCGGGTGCCCCGTCGGGCCCGCCTGGGCAGGCGCGCCCACCGACCCGCTGGGCTGCGTGTGAGCATCGTTTAACCGATGCCCATCCCCATGAGCGTGGCCTGGGCCCCACTGGCCGATTTGCCCCCACAGATGGGGATGCAGGCTGTTCCCTTCGAGATTCGAGGGGCACACCCCCATCTGGGCTTGTGGGATGGTGGGGATCGGGATGAGGACGGAGATGGGGGTAGGGATCGGTTGAATGATACTGAACATGGCCCCAAAAAGGCGGGGCTGATCACGGTCGACGCGGGAGAGTGAGCCTCTTCTCACTGGAGCGACGAAAAGACACGGGTCTCACGCGAGATGGCATAGCGGCCTCACGCGGTGGTCTACGCGGGCCGCCAGCGCGGCACGCTACACTGGAGATGAGGGCGAACCCGATGTTCTGCGGCACTTAGGTTCTGGCAAATTTGCTTGCACGGCAGTCTGCCTCCTCGAAAACCCCCGCCACCTTTGCCTCGGGTGCTGGGCCGGAGAAGCGTGCAGGTAACTTTCGGCTCCCCCTCCTCCTCCTCCTCCTCTTCTTCCTCCCTCCTCCTCCTCCTCCTCCTCCTCCTCCTCCTCCTCCTGCATTATTCTCCCTTCTAAATAACTTCTCCCTGTCGCATCCCGAGGCAAGTTTTTAGGGCGGTCCAGGAGTTTCGCTGAGACTCAGTGATGGAGGGCAAGTCGTTTTCAGAATGTGGCTCTCGCCTTAGCGCCGCGTACATTCGTTTTGAAAAATTGCAATCGCTTCACGGATTCAGGGCGGGTAGTTTTCAAAACGAGGCTCTCGCCTGAGCGTCGCGAACATTCTTGTTAAAAATATCAAGAGTTTCACGGATTGAAGGCGGGACGTTCTCAAAATGCGGCTCTCGCCGTAGCGCCGCGCACCTTCGTTTTAAAGTTCGCAAGAGCTTCACGGATTGAGGGCGGTTCCTTTTCACAATGTGGCTCTCGCTTTAGCGCCGCGCACATTCGTGTTACGTGTTCGCAACAAGAGTTGCACGGAGTCCCATGATCAGCGCACCAGAAATGGTGTCCTGGAAGGATTCAGGATTGTGAGGGCACAACAGTTACGTTGATTCGCGGTGTTGAAGTTCCAAGAACGGCGATCTGGCACGGTTCAAGATCGTCAAGACGCAACAGTCAGGTTGATCCGTGGCGCTGGAATCCCGACCACGCTGTTCTGGCATGCATCAGGGTCTTCAAACGGATGTCTTCCAACGAAGCAGCTCCCTGAGTGGAAATGAACCCTTGTGGGGGCCTATGAAGAGGGAGCTTGGAGGGAGGGTTCATGCCAACATCTTTGCTGACTCTTGGGTTTACACTGGTCCTCCTCCTCCTCCTCCTCAGGGGCTCGCCTGGAAGCACCCCCACCTCCATGCAAGAAAACTGCCCAGAACATTCACAACAAGATTAATCCACTGTGGGCCCGCACGCATGCCAGCTGGTTCGGAGCGAGCTCAACGCCACTGCGTCTTTCAATGAGACTAGAACTGTTAACATTACTTTGATATTAGTGGTAGCATGTTAAGTCGTACGCCTTCTCATCTAAGTAACATGATGTTTGGTAGTATGCGCATGCGTCTTCTCATCTGTATACTGCTATGTATGACAGCATGATATACCACTACTCCTACTCCTCCTCCTCCTCCTCCCCCTCCTCCTCCTCCTCCTCCTCCTCCTCCTCCTTACTACTACTACTACTACTTACTACCACGAATTTCAAACCTCTACGCTACTACTACTACTACTACTACTTACTACTACTACTTACTACTACTACTTACTACTACTACTTACTACTACTACTACTTACTACTACTACTACTTACTACTACTACGTACTACTACTACTACTTACTACTACTACTTACTACTACTACTTACTACTACTAATTACTACTACTACTACTTACTAATACTACTTACTACTACTACTTACTACTACTACTTGCTACTACTACTTACTACTACTACTACTACTACTACTACTACTACTACTACTACTACTACTACAACGGCTACTACGACTACTACGCCTACGACTACGACTACGCCTACAACTACGACTACGTAGACGATGACGACTACGACGACGACGACCTCTACGACTACTATCTACTACTACTACTACTACTACTACTACTACTACTACTACTACTACTACTACTACTACTACTACTACTACTACACTTACTACTACTACTACTACTACTACTACTACTACTACTACTACTACTACTACTACTACTGCTACTACTACTACGACTACTACGACTACTACGACTACTACGACGATTCGACTTCGACTAACTAATACTTACTACTACTGTTCCTACTCTACTCTTACTACTTATCACTACTCACTAGTACTTACTAGTCACTACTACACTACTAATACACTACTTAACTACTACTACTCACTACTACTACTACTACTACTACTACTACTACTAATACTATATACTACTACTACTACTACTACTACTACTAATACTAAGACTACTACTACTACTACTACTACTACTACTACTACTACTTACTGCTGATTCAAT